CCCCCCCGCCCCTTTTCCACAGCTAATCAGCTGTTAAGCCGACCTCCTTGCTATCTCTCCTCTCCTTCCTCTTACCTGGAAATGCTGTTCTCTATTTCTTCTCCTCAGTCCAGGAACATGGTACAATCTGTACTTCCTCTCCTTCTTAAAGGTGATCATGGCCAGCCATATGACTTGCTTTGGCTGAGAGAAGTTGGGCAGGGGTGATATATGCTCTTTTGGTGGAAGTATCTAGTTGCAGTATGTGACACTACCACACTTTTTTCTTCCTGCCACTGGACCTGACCACATTCCAGATGGCAGAGGCTCTGTTGACTTGATTCCCAGAGTAAGGACTCTCAAGTCTATGGACAATGGATTTGTAATGTGAGCAAGAAATAAACATTTGTTAAACTAATTCACTGGTTATTACAGCATGTCATCAAGAGGACATGACCACTGGTTGACCCAAGAGCTGGACCCCAGGTAATCGGAGGCTCCTCACGCTCTCCCTTATCCTTGGCATGTACACTCTGCCCACCATTCCCACAACGGGAGTCATTTTCAAGGAGGCGACTTTGAGAGAGCAATGTGTTGTTGAAACTATCTGAACGGTAGATGTGACTGAATCAAGTTCAGGCCTCTACAGAAATGTCTATGATTCTGGCAGGGTGGGTGGGGAGACCTACTCATCTTGCAGCCACCCAAGATAAGCCCTATATTTAAGTTCCCTTGCTTATTAAAACTGCCATTTGCCAATCTGGAGTGGTCTGTCTCTCTTTTGTTTTCTCCCTACCCCCTGTGGATGGGGCCAGTTTCAAGTTTCTCCCAGGGAAATTCTTGGGTTGTGAACCAACAGCATCATAGTCTAGTGCATCCTAATATACCTAGGCTACTGGTGGGGTTCAGGCTCTCATCACTTCTCACCTGAGCTCTAACACACGCTAGTCAAAGTGTGGTCTGAACAGGCTATCAATCCACAAAATACTGCCGACCTGCAATGAAGTAAGTACAAAAACTGAGAATAAACATTTAGAAATTCTTTTAACAATTTATCAGATTAATTTTATCTGTTGAGTCTAATAATAAAATATTTGGGCTTATAGTCTCTTCAAATCTTAGTATTGTGCCTTACCCCATGGGGTGCTATAAAACTGTTTGTCAAATTAAATTGGATCAAAGTTTCATGTTTAAGAAGTAGAATTATGGTAGGATTTCAAGCAACAGCAAGCAGGACTAGGGGGATATTTAAGGTGTAAGACCCTTTCTCATCGAGTGTGAAACCATCATTTAAAAGTTCCTAGAGTCTACGCTTTGTGCCAGCACAAAATTTAGCTCCAACAAGCAGGGAACCTTCCTGAGCTCTTTCTCTCTCTCACTTAACATTAAATGTAATTTTAAGTTTGCCAGCATAAAAGCATGGACATGAATGTATTTGGTCTTTGGAATAAAACTTTGTAAATATATTGCCTATGAATATGGTTTTCCAAACTATCTACAAACAGCTTGACATTTTCACACATTTGTTCAAGAGTACAAGAAGTTAATCTAACTGATCCCTACCTAAATCACTTCCCAACTCCCTCCAGGACTAACTGGAGCTACCTTTTTCTTCCCAAAAGCTCTTTGATGTTAATATATTTCCCTGCACCATACGTGGTATGGTATCCTGAAAAGAACAGTGAGCTAGGTGTTGGGAGACCTGGTTCTAGCCCTCATTATCCACTCACCTGCTACTACACGAAGCCATTGCTTAACGACTTGGTGTGCTAATTTCTCCATCTATTAAATGAGGATAATAAGTTAATAATAACAAGTACATGATATCAGCTCTACACAATGGTAACTCAGCATTCATAGATAACACTGCCTTGAAATGCTCTCAAATTATCTCATACACATAGTTTTTCTCCTTTCTAGCCAGACAGTAAGTCCTGAGAGAAGCATTGTATAATATTGCTTTGTATGCTTCCAGTGTTCAGTCCTTTGGGACAAATATACATACCATGATTGTTTGAAAACAGTTTAATTTACCAAAAGTTGTTGAACCCCTTTACCACCAAGTAAAATGCATGAACTTCATAAACATACACTGCATGACAGGTGCTCCTTACTCACATTGACACCCTTTTAGAGTTCTGGTTAAGGAGAGTTGTATTGCTTATCTGAGTTCCTTGAGGGCACAGGTCATATCTCATTAACCTTTGTATCCCGCATTTACCTTAGTCATGCAAGCACACAGAAGGAGCCCAGCAATGTCTGCAAATAATTAATAAATGTATGAAGTGACCTTTACTTAAATACTTCCTAATACTACCTCCATTCAGTCACCCAGAAACCTAAAAAGCCAATCTTTGTTTGATTTTGGTTAAGTTGGTTTTTAATTTTGCAGAATCATCTAAGCATTTTATGAGTACACCTCCCCAGTAAGTCCCATGATTTTTCTCTCCTCTTTCCTTTGTAAGCACAAGCAGTTCTTATTCAAAGATCATTAAAAGGATTAGGCTGCAGGAGTGAGAGTGGTAAGGATCGGAATAGCTATTGGTCTGAAAGAAAGTAAAATGGCACTAATTGTTCAGATACAACGTCATTCTGCACATTAAACATAAATACGGCAGCTGAATAAAGAGCTTCTACAGAGAGCTCTAGGCTCTGGCAGGAACACTGGGCTGCACCAGTAAAAGGCCTCCTGCTAGGGCCGCAGTGGAAAATGTGACCTCAGAGAGGAATTCAGAACGGAAAAGGCTTAGAACAAGATGACACACCATGAAGTTTTGGTTAAGTCATTTGGTTCCAGGCATATAAAAGTTTTCAGTTAAAAAATAATGCAGACTACATGAACTTTGTCAGAGATGGCTATTCTCAGTAGAGCTTAGAATTCCAAAGTGCCTCTGCCCTCGTGTTCTTCACAAGAGATCGATACCATTTAGGAACACATTCATCTAGAGAGGCCCGGAGGCCTGGGAAGCAAAATAGGTTAGTCGGGACTCCTGAGACCTAGATCACCCATTGTTCCACTGAGCCCTTCCAGCGCAGGGGGGACACTGACTAAGGACTCCAAAAAGCAAAGGCAAAGACAGCGCTAGAGAGAAGTCAGCAATGTCCTTCCCCCCTTCCTGCTCCCACCCAGAGAGGGCTCCTGTTATGGGAAAAGCCTGTGTTTATGACGGCAGCAATCTATGTCTTTCACCACCAGTATGTAGCCAGTTCAGTGTTTCAGAGCTGGGGATTCTTGCTATGGAATAGGATCCCGAAGTTTAGTAAGTTAGGCTTTTGCAAGAAAAAAAATGGAATACATCATTTCATATGGTTATGAACAAAACCACAGTCTAGAAAAAACACCCATCCCACCGACCCTTGCCCCAAACAAGCTTTTATTGTTAAATATAGATCTATATTTTGAGCAAAGCATGAATCAAGCCACATATTTAATGTCAGTAAAGTATAATTTTAGAGGCATGCCAGAAAGGAGAAGGGGGGATGTTAGCACATAAAACTTATTTATATTTTTATTTATGCCTATTTCCCACAGATTGAAAATAAATTTTCAAGAGCACCACTTCTCAAGCTAACCAACCTACTCCTTGAGTCTGAAAATTTGGTGCTTATTTAGCACTGCCCTCTGGTGTCCAAATGGATCACTTTAGTTTGCCTTGAGGCAAAGAGTAAAAGCTACTATGCAATTAAACAAGTCTACAATCTACATTCATTCATTCACTAAACATTTATTGAGAGTCTAGTGTGTGTGAATTTGTGGAAGGTGGTGGGATACACAGATGTAAGTAAAGACTTGGTTCCTTGCAGTGTTCTTAAGCGGCCCACAGTCTAACGAGAGACAAAATTAACTGCAATTCCACAGTTACTTGATCATACAAGAGAAATCACTTTACCTATTATTGAGACAGTCACAGCTGGCTTGCCTCCCTTTCCAAACTGTTCTGGACCATTGTTCATATTAACAGGTATCGGGCTGGCTTTGGGCCGAATAGCTTTGGTGAAGTACACAAGGAACATTCTGAAACAGAGGAGATACCCCAGGACATACAATGAGATGGAGGCCTAATTTTAAGGATTTCTGTGGGAACGCTCTTTTTGAGTCAACTCCAGAAGATACTTCTGGTCTTGTAGTTACCTAGGGGCTCACTGGTCACCAGATCAGACATACAAATCTAATGTTCATTAAGTCTTAAATTTCTTTCTGAAAATGCAGACTGTTTTTCTCGCACTGTGATAAAAAGCTTCAAAAGGAATCAAATGGCAGAGATCCCAAGAATTGATCATAAATTGTTTTAGGATCCTTAGGTCTGCAAAGTGCCAACCAGAGTCACAGAAACACACATTGTTCTGAATGGGTACATCTTCAGACCTTCTGAGAAAGCAGAGGGAGTCCAAAGGAATTGCCAAGATGTTCCATCAAGAATAAAAGTGAAATTCAAATATCAGCAAAGGAAAGGAGTCAAAAACTACTGCAGACCAAGAATGATGCTTTACACCATTTTATAATGTTCTTACTTTTTTCCATTTTTCCATTCTTGGTTCCTGTTGTTTTCTAGAGTAGTTAGCCTTGACTTGCTTCTAATCAATAGGACATGGCAAAAGTGACAGGATTACCTGACTACATTGCTTAAGATTATGAGATCCATCTTGCTGAAACTGTCTCCCTTGCTGGCTTTGAGGAAGCAACCAGTTGTGCTGGCAAGGCCCGTGTGGCAAAGAGTGGAAGGGTGGCCTCTTGCCAACAGCCCCCTAGAAACTGAGACCATCAGTCCAACAGCCCACAGGGCATTGAAAGCTTCAAACAACCACATAAGGGAGGAAGGTGACCCTTGCCCAGACAAGTCTCAGTGGAGACTGGCTTGACTGAAGCCAACTTTGAGATATTAAATGTGTGTTGTTATAGTTGCTAAGTTTGTGGTAATATTATGCAATGACAGAAACTAATATAGATCTCAAGATTTTTTTTAATTTTAAAACATTATAAAAGTAATACAAATAAAGAAAAAATATACTAAATACTAAAGAAAGACAAAGTCATCCATTTATTGCTCTGCCACCCTATTATAAGAACAGTTAGTAATTTATTTTGTCACCCTTTTATTATATACTTGGTGTGTTATTTATAGCCATGAACTTACCCATTCACACACTTTCATATCTTGCTTTTTTAATTATTTTCTCATGTTTTTCATTTATTCATTACTAATTTTTAATGAGTACATAATGTACCATTCATTGGCTATCTATATCTGTTTATTAACTATTTCCTTATACCAGGGATTGGCAAACTATGGCCCTGCATTTGTAAATAAAGTTTTATTAGAACACAGCCATGCCCATTTATTTACGTATTGTCCATGGTTATTTTTGTACTACAAATGGCACATTTGAGAAGTTTTAAGAGAGACTGTATGGTTTGCGAAGCCTAAAATATTTCTTTTCTGCCCTTTACAGAAAAAGTTTGGTGACCCCTTCCTAAAACTTTTAAGTGATTATTTTGGCTATTACAATTAATGTCACTTGGAATCTTTGTGCATATAATTTTTATACTTTAGGCAACATAACTGGGAGGTATTAACAAAAGTGGAATAACTGGGTCTACTTAATAAAGATGTCTTTAAAGCTGACACCGTTTCTCACCATCTCACATAATATTCTAACCATGATATAATAAGGGTGGTGGTAATAAGAATGGAAAGGAAGGCCCCGTACTTCCTTTACTTAGGTAGGAAGTAACTCATTGGTAGCACTCCTCTGGTCCCTATTAGTCTGACAGGGATGTAATTTTATACTCTGGATGAGCATATCTTTACTTTTGACTTAAAGTCAACAGTAAATGCCACATAAAAACCAATAGAAAGAAAACTGTTACTTTCTATTGGGGATTTAAAAGGAGACTGAGCAAACTCTCCAAGTGTCCAGGTATCTATGAAACACCACCGCAGGCTAGCTATAGTGGCCAAAAGGCACTGAGAGGGTTGAATTAGAGAAAGGTAAGTCTCAACAATGTGTTAGCAGTGGCAGCAATGAACAATGAGGCAGCTATGGGTGGCAGATGACAGAAGAAACACACGTGTTCCACCCCTCTGAACACATCCTAAGCATCAACTTGTATTTAAATGTAATTAAACTGTCTCCAGGTAAGAAAGTTCTAGAGCAACTACCCTATATTTATCAACAAAAAAATTCTTCTATCTGGGAAAGTTTTATTCTTCAAAAAGAAAAACTTATGGAATAGGACCAGCTAAGTCAACCCTAACCACCTCTGAGATAAAAGATGAACCAGGCTGACGGATCTCAAATCCACTCTCACAGTAAGCTTCAGGAAGTATAGGTGTCATCTTCTAAGGGAAATATTCTGCAACACAAAAAAAAAAAAAAAAAAAAAAGATCAGGATGGACTTTTCCCCCAATATTAAATAAGGTAATTTAAAAGCAAAATCAGAAAGATATTTAATGTAATTATCCCAAATACACCAACAAAGTATATAAGGAAATCATACATAACACATTTATTTTATTAAAAGGTTCCTGTCAAACTGTCAACCAATTTAACATTTTCTAAAGAAGTGTTCTTTTGGCTAAAGTTATTATAAGCCTTCACATTCCACCTCAGTTAATTCTCAAATAATATCAAGAATTTATGAAGTACTCTGGGAGACTATGAAATTCTCCAAAGAGTAAAAAAAAAGTCTAATTATTTTTGTAGAAACTAGGAACATATTACTTTAAACAAAACAGCCAAGTTTCTGAGGTGTGAAAATCAGGTCATAATTTTCTTGAATTTTCATATGGCAAAGGAAGCTAAATGGCTTGATTTGCACTTAAAATCAGGTTATCATTTTCTTCTTTTTTTTAACTGTTTGCTGATAGTTGCCTCAAAACTGACCTGAGGGTCTGGCAGCATAAATCCATCAGTAAGTTTATAATAGACTATTGTGGAATCGGACTCCACTATGGCCAAAGTAAAAGACATTGGCAAATCTGGATCACCTTGCAATTTTCGAGATGCCTTCAAGATCTCCCTTATCCTGAAAATAAAGCCACAGTACATTTAGGATTCACAGTCACTCAATTAATAATAAGATCAAACACTGTAAAATCTTGGGGAAGAGGTAGGTAATAACATTATATCCATAATACTGACTAAGGAAATGTCTGAAGGCTCAAATATAAACATCTAAAGTTGTCTCATATAGAAAATCCTGCAAATAAGAGCCATCTACTGACTTTCAGTCCTCTTTTGGATTTACCCATCTCTCCTGATATCACACATGATAGAATCAGACTGTATTCAGGAACCTCCAGAATGGTGTACTAACAGTGTTCAGTGCACCTGTGGTCTATGGATCCTGAGTATTCATTTTCCAACTTGGTATCATAGAGTGGAACAATGTGGTATTCAGATTTGCTTCAAAAAAAATAGATAATAAACATTTCCATGTTTCTACATGGTGTTCGTCATTACTATCTTTAAATGGCTATATATTTTCCATTGAGTCAAAATTTACCCAATCATTCCCCTATTCCTATAGAGTTCTCTCAGGCCTTTCGTGGGGAGAAGGGCACTAATAAAGATGTGATGATGATTCTTCTGTAGGTAATTGTTTCTGTTCGGTCTTTCCAAGGTCGGAATTATTAGATATGAGTATAGATATTTTTATGGTTTTCAATATGTATTCTGATACTTAGTAGAAGCTAAGAGAAAAATGTAGAGAGAAAACTTTTTCTTGTAAAGTTATATATCAAGCATCAATGTTATAAAGGGTTTCAGTTTGCTTGTTATGGAAAATAATCTACCAAATCTAGTATCTCCTAGATACTTCAAAGTGCTATTAGCTTTTGTTTACCAGAAACTAAAAATCCTTATTACCTACGCAATAAAGCTTGTGTTCAGTAATTCAGTAAAATGTAACCTCCAGAGGAGCGTTCTTAAAAAGGCAAATAAAAAATGATGGATGGAGCTAGAGCATATAATGCTAAGTGAAATAAGTCAGAGAAGGGTGCCTGGGTGGCTCAGAGGGTTGTGTCTGCCTTCGGCTCAGGTCATGATCTCCAGGTCCTGGGACTGAGCCCCAAGTTGGGCTCCCAGCTCAGCAGGGAGTCTGCTTCGCCCTCTGCCTCTCCTCCTGCTTGTGCTCTCTCTGTTTCTCTTTCTCAAATGAATAAGTAAAATCTTTATTAAAAAAATAAGTCAGTCAGAGAAAGAAATACCACATGATTTCACTCATATGTGGAATTTAAGAAACAAAACAAACAAGCAAAGGAAAAAAGAGAGAGACAGAGAGACAAACCAAGAAACAGACTTTTAATTATAGAGAACTATGGTCACCAGAGGGGAGGGGTTGGGGGTGGGTTACATAGGTGATAGGGATTAAGGCATGCACTTGCTGTGGTGAGCGCTGGGTGTTGTATGGAAATGTTGAATCACTGTATTACACACCTGAAACTAATATAACACTGTATGTTAACTAACTGAAATTAAAATAAAACACTTAAAAAAAATAATTTTCTTTAAATATCCCTAGCTGGCAGAGTATGACAAGGATGGGACACAGATGGAAGGAAAAAAACCTACTGAGGCAACTTTTACACAGTTCCCATTTCTTAAGATATGATATTGTTTAAATCAGAAACATACGTGTGTGTGTGCATACATGTGTAGTTTTTTCCAAGGTAAACTGGGAATTCTAGCCCATATACTCAACTTTAGGATAGAAATTTCCACCTCATTCATATTTGTTTCCAGAGTTCTTTAATATAAACAGCAAAACACTTTCAAATTTACTTAAAACACCCATGTGGGAAACTAATATTTGAAAATTAGTTCAGAGTTGTAAAAGGGGTTTTGTCTTCAGAGCTGAGGGAAACCCTGTCAAAAATGAAATGGAACTTCCCATCTCAGAGCCCCTATTTGGTTGTGTGTGGGGGAAAACTACCAGTGAATTTTCTCAGTAATTACATAATAAAATAGTTTATCTGCTTCTGTTACTGAAAGCACACTAAGGAAAGCTTACAAAGATTCTTGTTCAGGATCGCTTCTGGTCTATTTTTAACATATGTTTAAAGTAATGCCATCAAGACCTCTTGTTTGTTTCTTTTATGGGACACTGATAAACTCCTAAAAATGTTTACTTTGCCTTTAAGTCAACAGATTGCACTTTCTCAATCTAACAGCAAGAACACAACAAAAGGTTCCAAAGCTCTACTTTAAAAATCACACACAATTGTAAAGATGCTGAGAACAATGAGGTACCACTAAAATACTATAATCTCACTTAACTTCTAACAAGCTTACAGCTTGAAGTTTTAATTCAGAAACCACATGTAAAATTTTTTAAAGCTCAGTTCTTTGGAAATATTTTGTAGCGATGCTTCATCACATAAATCTAAAATAACTTAAGATAATAAAATTATTTATAGTTCATATTTGATAAAAATCCATATATGAAAAACATAACCTATGTATTCATAAGAAGAAGTTCAGGTTCTCAAGTTTATTACATTTCAAAGGAAAAACCTAAAGAAAGAAATCAGTAATAATCATAAATGCTGATCAGCAGTAAGGAAGTTAATGTTTTTAACAGGTTTTCCTGCTCATAACTGTTCAGAGAGGACCTCAACATACTGAACACAGAGTAATTCCGAAGTTTAATAAAGCTCACTTGAAAAAGCCTGCGGCAAACACATAGGTAACATTATCTGGCTACTACCCTCCCTCCAAGCTATATAATGCCTTCCATAAATCTTAGCATTCATTTTTTTGTGATGATCCTGTAACAGAGACTAAGTAATCTCCGAAGATTGGTACAGAGGACAAGCAAGTTGAAAACATTATTTTTAACTTAAATGTTGTTAAAATAAAATGCATCATGGGTTAAAATTCAACCCACAGAAAGCAGTATCTCCTGTCCTCTTCCATATGGCCAAACTGGTACATACTGTAGACTTAGCAATGAATGAAACACTTCTTGATCTGCCTCATTATGATATACTGGAACAGCACATCATAATGTAACTCTGAACACAATGCAAAGTGAAATTGGTGCCCAAGGTACCAAAGAAGGCTTACTCATCCACAGGCTCAATCCTAAAGAAGAGTTTCAAGGATAATAGACCACTTCCTTGGGAATCATGCCAATGCCTTCCTAGTTTAAAAAAAAAAAAAATCAAGGCAGCTAAAGTTCCAGGGTTGGATTAGTGAATAATTAAGTGCCTGTGTGGCCATTCACCCCAGTGGGAAGCCATTCTGCCAAAATAAACTGTAAGCTTTTTTTTTTTTTTGAGGCTGTGTCAGTTGCAAGACACTGCTGGAATTGGGGGTTTCACCAGCCTCAGATTTCCAACGGAGGTAGTATGAGGACACACATTTTGATATGCAGGGAGACCAAATGACAGAAATTATTTTACCAGTTATTAGACTTCAGGCCTCAAATAAAATAATGGTCACTAAATGCATTTGTAATAAAGAATATACCTTTGGAGAAAAGAAATATTTTTTGATTACAGGAAAATAATGGAGTATCTTTCAAAAAAAATATGTAGCACTTCAGGATCAAATCTTGTAACTAAGAACATCTTTAAAAATGTCCTAAAAAGGAAATTCAATTAGTTCTGGTAATCCTTTACTCCACCGTTAATGTAAGTCCTTTCCCCAAGACACTAAGGAAAAAGAAGGGTTGAAAGGTGGCTGGAGGGAGAGGTGGGGAGGATAAACACAAAAAAGAATTTAACTAAAAGGTAAGGAGGCTATTCATAGCCTTGGCGGAGTGCCTCTTCAGACCTGTGAGTGTTCTCTATCTGCAGATGCATATATAGTTACAGTGTAAAGAGTGGGAAATAGTAATAAATCTTGCAAGTGGATAGATTCTGCAGACATCCTAATTTTCTTTTGGAAACTCTTGGAAGGTTGCTCGTAGCATATCCTTATGTTCTTTAAAATGTTATTTAGCAAGTTTCTGCTGTAAGAACTGAGCAGTCTAAGAGAGTTCATTCATTCAACAAATACTTATTTAAGACCAAGTACTAGGTACCGAGCTAGACACTGGGACAATAGCAATAAAAAGAGCAAAGTTCCTGCTTTCATGGAGGTTATTTTCTAGTGGAGGAAGGAAGATAGGAAACAATCAAAGACAACCAAATATATAATATATTGAGTAGCAATAAATGTGGTAAGTGTTATAAAGGAGGACTACTTCATAGGCTGTGACTGTACAGGGAGTGAGATGATAGTAGCTTATATCGGAGTAATGACAGTATAGCAGAAGTGGTGAGAAATGGTAGATTTTGGATATATTTTTAAGAAAGAACTGCCAGAATTTGTTGATGTATTAATTTGGGGTATGACAACTGGATGGACTAAAATTAATAAAAGATTATATACCAAGGTTACAGGATACAAACTTAATATACAAAAGTCAAGTGCTTTCTTATATACCAGCAATGAACAATTGTAATTTGAAATAAAAAGGACAATACCATTTACATTTGCATAAAAAAATGATATACTTAGGCATAAACCTAGCAAAAATATGTACAGGATCTGTATAAGGAAAACTAGAAAACTCTGATGAAAAAAAATCAAAGGAGATCTCAATAAATAGAGATAGTCCATGATCCTGGATAGGAAGGCTCACTATTATTACGATGCCAATTCTTCCCAATGAGATCTACAGATTAAGCACAATCCCAAACAAAGCTCTAACAAGTTATTTTGTGGATATGGACAAACTGATTCTAAAGTTTTTTATATGGAAAGGCAAAAGACCCAGAATAACACAATAGGGGAGAAGAACAAAGTGAGAGGACTGACATTACCTGACATTAAAGCTACATTAGTTCTGACAAAGAAAAAAGAACTGCAGTTTTTTTGATTCAACATAGGAAGAAGGGAGAGTATATTCTTTTGAAAACAATGGTGTAGGAAACAGGTTGATATGGCTTAATAAGCTGAGCATCAGATTTTAAAAATTAGACTCACATGTGGAATTCAAGAAAGAAAACAGATGAACATATGGGAAGGGGGAAAAGA